CTGAAAACAGTCGACCCCAACAAAAACACCAAGAGCACTAAAAACGATGTTTAATTTTTTAAACAACCTCAATATGCTCTTATGCTCCTGATAAATTTTTGAAGTTGTTGTAAAGTTTTGAATTCCTAATTATTTTTGTACCCTAAGAAACCGCATTTTTTGAGTTAATATGCTCATTTGTACCTCAAACAATAAAAATAGTTGAAACGGATTATAAAATTTTGTTTTTGTGACGGATTGAGCTCAAAATATTTAGAACATTTTTTGTTTTTTGATATACTCATTCTTTCTTTTTTTTATTAACCCCAGAATAAGTACTTAAAATACAATTTTTTTGTTTTCAATTGTTTTATGTGTGCATGTACATAGTTTTAAATTTTCAACTTATTAGGCTTAAGGAAAATGGAAAGTGAAACAAATTTAATTTGGAAAAATTTTATAGAAATTTTTTTAAAATTGGGTACTGCGCTCTCGTTTCCAATATAAAAAATTACTTTAAAATTTTATCATTATTTAAAATAAATACAATTTTGAAAATAAACTTAACATTTGTGATTTCAAGTAATTTAAAAAATCGGAACTTTCTTTTAAGAATTCACTAATAAAAAATCTTTAGCAATTCTTTCTTTTTAACTAAACTAATTAAATAGTAAATGTAATGTATTTGAATTTACTCACTTAAAATTTTGATAGAAATTTTTTTAAAACTCATTAAGGACATTTTAACCAAGACCTATCCTTTGTAGCTACATATATGTATGTAATTGGGGATCTAGCAATACAATTATATTAGAAAAGAAAAATATCAAAAATAAAATTAAAAAAGAAAAATTTTTTTTTTGAAATGCAAAAAACTGAAAAAAAGATCCACTAATTATGTAAAATATTTCAAAGAAAAATAAGTGAAATACAACAGTGATAAAATTTCCCGATTTCTTAATACATTGCTAATACTTTTCACTTGAGCAGTATTAAATCTGTAGCGGTGCAAAGCAAAATCGATAGCTGGAAAATTCTGTACCGGTCTTTAAAGTTATGCTAGATTCATTTGAATAATAACATGTTATGTATGTATGTATATGCGCACGTTCGTCACTTAACAACTATATTTTAATTTTATAAAAAATGCAGTTATTCGAGAATTACTCTCTATAATTTATATTGCATGATATAATAATCTTGTAATTTCCAGGGATTTTTGTATTATTGTAGCTTTTAGACTAGTGAAACTACAAGGTGGTAAATAAGCGAACTTCTGGGTTAAAAATTTTCGGATTTTATTCAGCTTCTTGGGTAACGATAATTTGTCATGTTATAAATGGGTAACGAAAATTTGTCATGTTATTATTATTTTTCTTACATGGCCAACGTTATTTGCGAGTCCTTTAAGTTTTCTCTACATTGCAGTCGGGAAACTATACATATATAGTAAAATTATATAGAAAATGTTCATACTCAAAATTAAATTAATTACAAATTTCAACAAAATAATAATGAAAACCCATTTTTATTTTTCATTTTTTCAAAAAAATGGAGAGAAAAAAATTCAAAATACAAAGTGTTTTTTCTTTTTATTTTGCCATTAAAAAAACATCAATTTGACCCAAAAAACAAAATTAACAAAACGACAACAAATGTTTAGGAAAAATATGTACAAATTAGTTGAACAAAATTATCTTTCTATGTATAATTTTAATTCGAATTTGTTCTTCCCTATCCAATAACATTAAAAGAAAGTTTTCCTAATGAAACTATTTATTATTGTGTCCCATATGGTTACAAGAAAAAAGCTATTGAAAATTACTTTTCTTTTCATCAATGTGCTAAAAATATATTATGTTTGTATATATAAAAAGGGACATAATGTATATTTTAAAACAATAACAAGCATAATATTAAATATTATTATTGGACAAATGTTAATTTAGCAAACCACACTCTCTCCCTATGTGAACCATTTTAAGTAAACTCCAAATTTCAAATCTTTTAACGTAAATCATTCATTTTCTTATTGAAGCTAGGTAATTGAGTATAGCAATTATACAGAGATTGGAAAATCTATCAAATCTCTTATTAAATCAAAGTAAAATGTTAAAACGTAAAATCAAACATGTGTTAGTCGGTAACACCAAAACTGTATATTGAAAATTTGCTAATTTTTCTTCCAATATTTTTGAAAATTAAAAGATTTCAACAAAAAATTTTTTATATTTTTTTATCTATTATAATTTTATTTTCTATTTTTATGCTTTTGTTTTCTTTGAAAACAATTTTTCTTTGTTTTGTTTCTGCAAAAATTCAATTTGTAAGTTGTGAGATGCTCGCGTACATACATGAAAACATTTTTAACGCTTGGTCAGTTATTTTCTTTGTATAAAACCAAAAAAAAAAGGAAGAAAAGAAAAATAAATTTTTGATTTTATTTTCCGATATACTCAAATTTTTTGTTTTTTTCTTCGTATATTTTTCCATTTTGATTAAAAGAAAATAGCTATACAAAAAAAATTGATTGAAAAGGCAATCATAGTGGTATATTGTATGTGTTTAGGTACATGCTGTAATTTTGTGAATCTATGCACTAGTATCCTTTTTTCTTTTTCGTATTTTTCGAGAAAAAAGAAAATATTTTTAGTAAAACTAATTTATCAATAACAAATATGATCGCTTATCCTGGCTATATTGCATTTTTTTTAAGATAAATTTTGTTTTAAAACTTTAAATTAAATTTCAATAAAATGAAATTTTTTATAGCGAGTATATTCGTTTAAATAAAAGCACTAGAAAAAATATATTATGTGTATGTATATGATTTCTAAATTAAACTACTAGAGCACTTAGAAGTAAAAAGTTTCAATTTTAATTGACTGTCATTTATATTTTGGACGAAATCAAATTCATAATAAAATGATTTTACAATCATTTTTTTTTAAATAATCAAAACGAAAAAATCATAATTTTGACAACAACGAAACGAAAAAACATAATTTTGTTACATCATTACGCATATATCTTTATATAAGTATGTAAAATTTTTAAAAAATAAACATTAAAGCCAAAAGTGTTTTAAATCAATTTCATACTTTAAACCTTGTTCTACAAAATTTTCTCCCAATAAGCATTTTTTAAATCGATCTCACTTTCTATATATGTATACAGTGCCAAATACATTTTTCATTTCCAATTTCTATATGAAATTACAATCGATTAAAGTTAAAGATTCTTCACACATTGTATTCCGATATAATAAAGAAAAAAATGTTAATTAATTCAAAAATCTCGTTGACTTGAATAAGAAATGAATATAATAACTTAAAAAAATTGAATATCTCTGACTAAAAAAATTGAATAACTTATCTTACACAGACATTACAATATTTTAAACACGATTTAAAAAAGCAAAGAAAAATTAAAGAAAAATTTCTTTCTTCTGAACACATGTCAATTCGATTATATAACAGATGTTTTATAAATAAAATGAAAAAAAAAATCAAAGATATAGGATAAAATATCCTTTTTTTCATAGACTCTAACATTAAATGTGTGGTTGTTAAATTGTATTATATTCAATTGCAAAATGAATAATCCTAGATTGCTGTTGACATTGATTTATAGTTTTTAATAGTATACAATTTTTCTTATAATTCTCTATGTATGTATGTAAGTATATGAAAATTCAGAATAAAAACACTAGCACAAAATGTACATGTTGATATACTAGACTCGTTTGTATAATGTACAAATTAAATATATTCTTGTCTACTACATTGCATTTAAATTTTTCGCATATACACACATCTATTATAAGTATACATGTACATACACATGAATATGAATAAAATCTAAGAAAATATAAATTTTGATACAAGCAGTTTCGAATAAAATCCTCTTGAACAAATTAAAGAGAAAAATACAAGTACAATAAACTGTATAAAGTTGTGTAAAACTAATAGTCTAATCATCATAAAAACAAGTAAATTTTTGTATAATAAGTGAGGGGGAAGAAAGATGGGAGACCGAACATATAAGTTTTTTCAATTAATATGTAAGAAAAATTCCAATTCCAAATTTTTTTAGACAAGAGTTTCCATCACACACTTGATTTTAGTAAAAAGTACTTGACTATTATTTATTATTCATTCACATTGGTTATAAGATATTTAACCGTTACTGTTTTTTAGTTAAATTATCTTTGTCAAAAAAAATGATTTCAATTGTCTAAAATAAATTTAAATATTACTCGGGAATTTGATATAAGGTAAAAGTGAGTAATTTATAACAAAAATTAGAGAATTATAGCATATTTTCTATAAAATTTCTCTCAATCCAAATAAATAACCAAATATTAGTACGATAATTTCATAAAATAGTAAAGTAGAATCTTTTCAATGTAGTACCTACACAAATTTTTGACCAAGAAACAAATTTAACTATACAGTCACTAAGGCATAATTGATCTACTATAAACGCTTTGGTTTTCCTAAGTAACGATAAAATTACAATATTCTTTCGATAGATTATCATAATAAAATATTTAATATAACAGCTACCAAATAATTCAGTTTTTAATATTATTACGAGTATATGGTAATCCTAAATTATATTGCCATATAAATATCGAACTTAATTTACAATAATTTATATTTTAAAATTATATTTTTCTATTTTTAGGTTAAATGAAGTTATATAACTTGTGTCAACATACTGCATTAATAATTGATTTTGTCTGCAATTTCAACAATTAAAATTGTTCTTAATATATGTGTATTATGTGTGAAATATGGACAATAACAATATGTATGCACAGATGTGTAATTAAAATTGTATGATATAAATATAGAAATATTGGTTACTACAATTTTCTATATCTACTTTACAATTTAAGTGTTTTCAATTTTTCGATGTGGTAATTATTAAATCTATGTTCAATATATGTATGTTAAAAATTAAAATGAAATTATTCATTATTTTACTTTACTTTTACGAGTAAGTAATATTAATACCCTTTACATTTTTTCCAACATATATAGTCATCATGTTTCGAGTTAGTTGAATGATGGGGACTGTGTTGATATTAGCTCCAGTTAACAACAAAAACCGGCACCAAACCATCTATCGCAGGTTACATATAAAACCGGCAGCTTTTCTTCAGTTACAAATAAAAGTTAAAAATTGGATAATAAAAGAACTTTAAAAATACTATTATTACGATAGTAAATTGGTAAGTTTGATTTTAGATAAATTATTTTAAATTTTAATTTGCAATTTATTTTTTCAATGGTTTTAATTAACATATAAAATTCATTTTTTCTATTCTGGTTTTAAATTCCAAATAAGTTTTTAAATTAAAGAGCACATAATTTCTCAAAATATTTAAAAAAATTAAATTTGTCAAATATTTCACCAGATTTCTCAAATCTAATTCTGTTTCTATACAAAATTTCTAATGCACTGCAATTCATAACACTTCAAAACATTACGAATAGAGAACTATATTTATAATTCAATACTTTAAATTCTTTAAAATTAGTTAAATTTCGAAATAATAAAGAAAAAAAAAATTTAATGAAAATTTTTCCTGTCGGAAAATGGATTTTCTTTTCAGGCGAACATTAATGAGTTTTTTCTTTTGTTCTACATATTTTCTATTTTCTTCCATTTTTATTTTCACTGCTCTGCTCTACATATTAAAATTTTTGTGGTTTTGGTAATATTAGATAGGTAGGTGCTTTAATTATATAACAGAAAAAGAATTTTTATAATGAAAGGCACTGAATTCTTTTTTTTTTTGAAAATATTTACTAAAATATTTTCTAATTAAAAAGGAGTAAGACTATGTTTTAAATAATTTAAAATTTCGATTCATAAAATAATCTAATTTCCAATTTTAAGGTATTTTGTGTTTTGAAATGCTAAATATGATTTTGAAAAAAATTTTGGTTTTAAAAAAATATTAAATTAAAAAACCCAAAAACAATATCAATAAATCAGGTAACAGTGCACCACGACCCGAAGGAATGATCTATTGTTCCCTGGTTCAGCAAAAATTCAATCAAATAAAAGTTTCAAAATAAATTCAAGGATTAAATTTAAAGCTTCTGTTGTCTTTCAATTAAAAAGTCATATTAGACTAGATTAACTTTTTCTTCAAATTATGAAAGCATAGCAAAATCTTTTTCATTTTTTTTCTTTTGTATCTTGTGTTATAAGAATCACATGAAATAAACGGACTCGTAAAATATTGTCACTATTTAGTTTAACAATAATCTTTTACCTCAACAACTACATATTTCTAATTTTAATCCTAATTCATTTTCCAAGAAAAAAATTAAAGTTCATTAAACTTTCAGCTTAGTGTATTTTTTTAGTTTACATTTTTCATAGTAAAAATTTGCTAATCAAGTATTTTTAAATATTGGAACATTTCGGTCCCCCTTATTAAATAAATGCAACATCGATTCATTTAATTTATATTTTCGTTACTTACATTCACAATATTTTGCATTTTCGGTAATTATATCGAAAATTTTGAGCAAAAACAATTGGGTTTTTTTATTTATAAATTATTTATTTTGAATAATTTACGTATAACGTGCACATACACAAATTTTCATATTTTACATTATTCAATTATTGATTCAAACTGATCGTATACAAAAACAATAATATAAGAAAAAGTTGAGAAAAGTTATAAAAACAATTTTCCATAATTTTCACACATGGTTTTCCATTAAAAAGTTTTCTTCTTTTTATCTCACTCTATCATCTTTCACGTTCAATATCTCAAGAATGGCAAAATTTTATTCTTATCTCTTTCTATATTTTATTTACCGATACAATCACTTTGTTTTATTTTTATTTTTCATTTACAACACTAAATTATTAAATATTTTTATTATAAAATTACGAATTTAACTTTTGAGATTTTTTAAATTCAAGAAATAAAAATAAATATTAGAAGAAAGAATAATTTTTGTATTATACTCATACTTCATGTATACTTCAAAATTTTTCTTAAATTATAATTTATTATCAAAATATATTAGCACAAAGTATAATTATGAATGTACGCTTGTATAATATTCTCTTTACACATGCGAAAACTACAAATACATATTCCTATTGCTTACACAAAAAAGTTTCTGTTTTAATGGAAATGTTATACGGGTATTTTATAAAAAGAATAATTTTATCCAAGAAGATACATATATTATTTTCACTTTTATTTGCTCCTTCGATCTTTATAACACGATCCCTTTGGAAAAACTAGAAATATTTTCATTGACCATTTCATTTGTGCCTCATATTTCTTCTTTCTTTTTCGAATTCAGCTTTGTTGAGAGAAAATTTACTCAGGAAGTTAATAATACTTAATATACATTCACTTTATACTTAACCATATACTATATAGATATATTCAATATTAACTCTATTTACTATAAAGTGTAAATTTAAAAATTTTGAAATTTTCTCCAAATTTTTATAAAAAAAAAATGAGCACATTATAAATTTACTCATTTTTTTTATTTTTTACGGTATACAATAAAACAAGTACATTATTATCTGAATTTGTACGAAAAATATTATTTTTCGTATCTATATTATTATTTTAATGAGTGATCTTCTACATAACATATCAACAGTGGCCCAATGTAGTATCAAATCAGAGTAATTTATTAAACCACATAATACTAGTTTTGTTTTAAACAGCTTTTATTACATATTATGAATCAATTTTAATAAAACACTAAGTTTAAGTTTTTTACATATTTTATTTTTATTTTATTTTTTTATTATTGTTTCAGTACTTTTGATAACTTTGATCAAAATGCATTCATGTATTTATATGACCACGAAATATAATTTTAAAGAAAAAGATCTTTAACTGATTTAAAATAGAAGAAAATATACAAATTATTTATAAAAGTTTATAATTATTTCTTCTATCTTAAATGTAATATTAAAATAATTGCATCTATGGAATGAAGTAGGCTAATTTAAAAAAAAATATTTAAAATTAATTTAGAACGTAAATTATTTTAATCCTAATTTAAAATTAAATTTCTTTTGATAGAAAGCAAGAGGATATAAAACTAGACCAAATCTTTCTAATTTTTACATTAAATTAAATTAAATAATAGTTTTAGTGTATATTAAAATTGAAAATTCAAATAAATTTTATATTCTAGTCGACGTTATGATACGGAAGTTGAACTACGATTCAAAATTTATTGAATTCTGCTCTTATTTCATATAATGGAATATCCAAAAATTGTAGTTTTGTCAATTTAGCCTTACTTAACAATGCATAAACATATTTGTTTCTGAAATTTCAATATTTTTAAAAGTGGATGATACATAAATTCTGAACTCTAATTTACATTTTAAGTCATATTCCGAGTAAATTATTTTCATCTTTTCATTTAATAGTCATGAAGAAACTTTAATATTCAAATATTATTTAACTTAAGATTTCGTTTTTGTATAGAAATTCTTTGCATATTTATAAACTATCTAATTTTTTGTGAAGACAAAAAAAATTTTTGACTTCCTTTAAGTTATCCAAACCATCTAGCACCTTTGCATATAAATAATTTTAATAGATCATAAGTCCAGTTAATTAACAAATTTTCTAAAGCCTTTCTAAGTTTGGTAATATTTAATTGAAAGCCTTATAAATATGACACTAAAATTAATCGAGTTAATACACATATTTCAATTACAGTATATAAAATGTAACTTGAAATATTTCTAGTTCTTAAAAATTAATTAAAGTTCAAAAATTTAGCATGAATCTTATAGTGACAACCACAATTTTTCGAATTTTAAAAAGTTGTCGTTTATTATTCACAAAAAATAGTTAAAACTGTATTTTCAATTACTTCAAATATTATTTAAAAAAAAACGAAAGAATTAAATTATACCAAACATCTCTAACAATTAGAAAAAAAATAGATAATTAAAAAAAATTATAAACTCCTGATAGAACTAATATTTAATTTTTAGCGTAAAATATAAATACAATAACGAAATGTCTTATATCTTATAGTAATTCTACTTTATTATTTTTTATTGTAAATTCCATAATTTTTCAAAACTGTATAATTACTATAAATTGAGTATGCGCTCAATATTTCCTGTATTTTTCTAGTAGTAAACCTAAAATTTTACAAGAAAACTAATAAACGACTAATAGTTATGTACGAAATAGCCACAAGCTTCAAATAGGAAAAAAAAAATATTGTATTCGAATTATAAAAAATTGCACTAGACGAAAATTTATTATTTGAAATTTCATTTACGATGAATTACAAATGTATTTACAAAATTCTTTTATAAATAATAATCTTTTTACAAAATTAACTGAAATTTAAATATAATATAAGAGCAAATCATCTTTTTAAAAGACAAGGAGTTCCATTAATACACGTTTTGGTTTTTTGTCACAAAAAAATATCCTTTTTTGAAAAAAAAAATTTTTTTTGTTATAATTATTTTAAAAGAAAATTCTACAAAGCATTTGAAAATTGTGCCTAAACTTAAAAATTATACAAAATTTTCTCCCATTCATTTTTTAAGATATTTTGTTTTTATAAATAAATTCAAATCTATTTAAATATTATGATCAATTTCCTTTTTTACAATTCTGAATGATTTTCATCATCCGAATCAGATTTTTCTTGTTTTGTTTTCATTTCTCGGTTGATATCTTCATTTTCTTCGGTCTCATTATATTTAGGCACTGGTTCATCTATATCTTCTTTTATTGGCTTTTCAACATTATCTTCAACAGTTTTGTTAATATTATCACTTTTTCCATTTTCTTTTTCTGGGGTTGTAGGTTTTTTTGGACGCCATATTTTCAACTTGTTAACCAAATATTTAACTTCACGATCCAATAAAGCCATTTTATCTGTAATATCTTTGACAGTTAATCTTACTGGTTCATTGGATTTCAATTTATTCTGCTCTTTTGTTTCAGTTTTTTGCCATTGAATTGTTTCATTGATTATACGATCCAATGTTTCCAATTCAACAGAAGTAAAAACATCCTTTTCAGGATTTTTTTCTAATGTTAAATTTTGGGCTGTAGCAAGAAATTTCTTTGCATGTTCAATCATACCACTTAAAGCTTTTAAAGCTTCGGGACGTTCATCGTGCTCCCAATGACGTGCATAAACCTCATTTGTCAATTTCTTTAAATCAGTCAAGCGTTGATTTAATTCATCAGCTGTAGCCTCTTCTCCACCATCATAAAGCCACTCAGAAATTTGGCCACAAGATTCGAGAATCTTTTTAGTTTCTTCTTCTTTTGCGCATTTTAAATACTCCTGTTGCGTGAATTTGTCCTGTGTTTCGATTACATGTGATTCTAAAGCATTAAAAAGAGACTCACGTTGTTCTCGTTCAGATTCCATTTTATTAATATTTTTCAATTTTTGATAAATCTCTTCAAATCCATCGTCAGCTAGTGGGGTAACGAATTGAATATTATATGTGTGAGGAACCGGAATCTTCTCTGTTACAGTCTTAACTGTTTCAGTTTTTGATGCTAAAATAATACAATAAAAAAAAGCAAATAATTTTTTATTTTATAAAACCTTTAATTGCTAATTTCGATTTGATCTACACACCTGTTGTATCCGTTGCGTTTAATTTCACTTTCTCTGTAGTATTATCCTTGGAACCTAAGTTTTCTCCCGCTTTTGAGTCTGTTGTCGATTCATCTTTTTCATTACTAGTTTCATTTTCAACTGTTTCTTTTTTATCTGCATCTTCTTTTTTTTCGTCTTCTTTTTTGTCACTTGATTCCACGTTGAATAGCTTGCTAAATGTATTTCCTATTTTTGAAAAAGTGCTTTCTTCTTGTTCTTCAATTTGTTGCTTTTCAAATAAAAATTCAACACTAGTTAAGTCTATTAAACCTGATTCATCCATAGCAAAGTGAGCTTTAATTCCTTTTGATTCAGATTTTTCGCCTTGATTTTTATTTAAAATTTCGGCAACATTTGTAAATTCAATATGCGATAAATTTAAATTTCCAATATATGAAATTTCCTGAGGACTTAAATGCGACAACTCAGCATAGTGAACATATATATCGAAATCAGCATTATGTTTGTTAAAAGTGATCACTTTTTTCTGTGGATAAACATTCATTGCTGTAAATAAGGTTCTTTTCACCTGTCTCGGTACTGATCCATTTCCTGGATCCCTTTCAAAGGATACATGGATCGGAAATATAACTGCGTCTCTCAAAACGAATCTTTTAACTTTGAATCCTGTAGCTAAATCGGCAGCCTTATATGCAGCTCCCATAGTAGCCGCTTCATCAGCGTTTAAATTTTTACCAAGTTCCTGTTTAATTTCTTGTTTCAAAATTTCCTGAATTTTTGGCACTCGTGTTCCACCGCCAAAAAGAATAACCTTAAATTTCATAATATTAAAATATTGTTTTAAATTATATTTTACAAAATTGTATACCTGACTAATAACATTCATTGTAAGACCAGACATTGCTAATGCTTGATTTAATGGTTTTACAATTCTTGGCCATAAGTTTTCACATAATTGTTCTAGTTTTTCTCTGGTAACTTGCAATTTGAAATCATGATCTTCAATTAAATTTTCAATTTGAGCAAAATGGTCAGTATTTGCACTCAAAACATTCTTTAAACGACCCGCTTCTTTAAACAGTTTAGCTAAGGCTCTCGGATTTGTCTTTACATCAGTTTTAGTTTTTTCCATTGCATTAAACTCATCAGCTAAATAATCACGAAGTCTTAGCTGAATTTCTAAGCCTCCTAAAGTTCTGTCGTAACCAACACCTAATACTTGAATAATCGGAGTTTTTTCTTTTGTTACCTTATCTCTAATCATTTGGAAACTAATGACAGCCGCAGAAGTTTTTTGTGCACCCATATCATAAAAAATGTAATATTGAGCAGTTTCATTAATGGAACCCTTGTTAAATACACCAAAATTGAGGGCTACTGCTGAATAGTCATTAATAAATTGAAGGACTTTTAAGTTTACTAAATTTGCTGCTACAAGTAAAGCAGTTCTTTCAGCTTGCCCAAAATAACCGGGTACAGTAAGAACACATTCAGTTATTTGTTGTCTTGTTGAATCTTCAGCGAATTCTTTAGCTTTGGCTAAGAGTTGTGCAACTAATTCTTCCACTTTATACTCTTGATCACCATCTTTAAATACAACAGTATTGCGTTCTTTGTCACCGATAATTTCATAGTAAGGGAAACGTTTTCTAAAATAATTGAATAGAAAAACTTATACTCATAGTTTCTCCATAATTTTGAAAACATACCTATAAAGATCAACAATTGGATTGTCTATAGTTTTACCCAATAAATCAAATAAATAACTATAAGCTTTGGCAGGAAATTTCACACCAATTGTTTGAGCATCTTCACCAAATGTACGTATACCATCTCGAAATGCCAGCACAGCCGGAGTCTTACGTTTTGATTCCTTATTTAAAGCTATTTCCATTGGTACACCTGGCGAAACAACACCAACTTTCATCCATTCATTACCTAAATCTACAGACATAACCGCTGCTCCTTTAACATTGCTAATATACGCAAGTATCAATGAAATTATAAGCCCCCATATGGGGAGCATTCTATTTGTTGTCGCCATTGAAATAAAATCCTGCAACAACGTAAAATTTAATCATTAACTAAATAAACAAATTATTCCATGTGGGTAGTAGCTACTATATTTGCTTTATCGATTCTTGTTATAATACGCTTTTTCATTCATTTACTTATTCCGAAATTAAAAATGTATGTACATATGTATGAACATACATTTACATACTATATTTAGGTTATAAGCCTACAATCACAAATTTTATTTTAACTCACCTAAATACTCTCTTCAGTTGGCTTTTCTTTCAAAAATAATAAACCTCCTGCGTATATGAACAGAAGCCTTCTTTATTCAAATGGTAATTATTTCACAAATCTCAAACTAAATTACATTACCTTAACTGAGAATAACTATTGGCAGTCAAAAACGCCGAATATCACAAATTGTTTTACCACGTCAGTTTATTTTACAGCTGACACAGCCCTCCTCCTTCCAAACTTTTTCGCTTTTCATCTAAAAACCACTTTGACTTTGACAAACACGTTAACAATATTTTTTCCCTTCTTGAAGACAATTGGGAAATTTCTATAGTAATGCATTCACAATTGACTGCAAAATTTTCCAAATTTTATTTTCACAATAACCGGATTCAGCAAAATATTTTTAAAACTTGAAAACATTACATCATTGTTCAAGTTGACATTTTTGATTACAATAATATTAAAAAATAATAATGTGATGTCTGACCTTCTTCTATCTTCGTGAAGGGCGTATTCACTTTTGTATGGAGTTTGTAACCATTTGAAGAAGTCGTCTCCGGTATGGGCATGTTATATTCTTCCTAAGCGTTGATTCTGGAGGGACATGTCCGTCCGTCCGTCTAATTAATATTATAGAGATATTAATTATATAATAGAGATATTAATATCAAATTTTGCAAAGGTGTGTCGAATTACATTCTACATATGATCTGAAAATTTTAATGGAATGGCTGCACTGGTTCAAGTAGCTGCTATACAATTCCAAATGCTAGTTGTATATATTCGGAAAAATAATAAAGCTAGATTCGTGGAACTTGGCAGTCGTTTATTCAACTTCAGATGAATTATATCCCTTAAGTTTTGGTAGAATAGTTGGATAGGTTCGAGTAACTGCCATGGAACTTCAAAATCTAATTTAAAATATTCAAAAAACTAATAAAATTAGATTCATGAATCTTGGCAGTCGTGTGTCCAAATTCTTTCAAAATATCTTTTGATTTGAGAGCAAAGTCCCAAAAAAAATCATTCACATAAACCAAACATGGAAAACAGTTTTTATAATGGGAATTTTTTTTTCAAATGTACAAATTTTGTGTAAATACTGTAAATAAATTTAATCTCATAATATTTAAAAGAATAGGCGCGAACCAATATTTCATAATATTTCCAACAGATGGCGCCTCATGGTTAAAGAAGAAATTTATACCATAAAATTGCATTCACAGTTATATATTAAAAAAGATTGTATTTTTTTGTAATTTCAATTTATATAATATATTGTATAAATTTATACATGTAGGATTGTGAACTTACATATGTATGCTTTCCTACTATTTGCTACATTAAAGAAGCTTTGTGCTTTCGCGCTTTTAGTGATTAGTAAGGTGTTAACGAGGAAAAAAGTAAATTCAGTTAAAATACTCGTATTGAAATTAAGAAAAAAACAAGCGTTTTAAATCAAAAAGTTTAAATTTTATTAAATATTCAATATGTTTTTTCTTTTTTTTCAATAGTAAATGGAAATACAACAAATTATCTTAACTTACAACATTTAGTACATCTATAAATGTAGAATCTAACACATCTACACAGCTAAAGCGAAAATTATTTGTCTAAAGCAGAGGCGTAAGTATCTTCCAATTACTGAAAAACATGGCACTCAAATATACGTAATATATACACATACATACATATCCGTATACAACATGAGTTCCACTAAATCCAGAAGAAAAATCAAACCGGATGATTCAAGGCAATTTTAGCATTAAGACTACTTTTTAGTGAAATTTCATCGTGACAAAATAACAAATTGTCAATATGTACGTCATCATTTAAGCTTTGAATCAAATTTTCATATGCCACTGGTAATTGGTACATTATAAATATTCGATTACTATTAGATTTCATCAGCTTTATAATTCCCATGCCCGCTGTATAATCAAATCCAGTCAAACGATTGCAATCTATAACAACTGGGATGACTTCAGATGAATATAATTTAAATGATTTTAAAATTTTATGGCGTATAAAGTCAATGCTTGGAAAATACAAACCATTAACAATTGTAATGCGAATATAAGAATTATTGTCGTCAGTCTGGAAGAGAAATAATAGACGAAAATAGCCTGAAATGTAAATGTATGTAATTTTATGAAATTGAGGACTGCTTACCTGCTGAACTTGCATTTCAACTTTTGGTCTAGCCCAATACCAAATAAGTTGTAGAATAGTAATTGCAACACCAAAAATTAAACCCATTTCAACGCCAAGTAAAATACAAACAACAAAACTAAGCATCCATGTTACGAAGTCCGCTTTATTTTGTTTCCATAATTTTATTGGTAATTTTAAGTCGAGTAATGTCAAAATTGAACATATTAAAATAGCGGCCAATGTTCCCTCAGGTATGTAATGAAAATATGGTGTTAAAAAATTAATTGCTAATATAACAATTAAACCTGTTTACATATACATGTGTAGAGAACATTGAAAAAAGAAACATCATTAAAAAATAAAAATTTAAATTTTGTAGATGGGTACTTTTAAATCGGATTTATTTTTACCGCAGTATAATCCTGCGATTGACGTTTTTAAACCACTAGATTGCCCAATTGATGCCCTTGAAAATGCACCACATGTTGGCATTGATTGTACACTTGAACCAAAAATGTTACATAATCCTAATGCAATTAATTCACGATTTGCATTTACTGATCCTTTTGGTGCTAAAATTGTGAGAATAATTGATATTAAGAAAGCACAAATATTCATCAAATACAAAATTAAATTCTGCCATTTCATCAAAGATTTGATTGAAATATATATTATGATTACACTTACTAAGACCACGTGCAACTGATATATTAGTTAATAAAGATACCAATGGAATAGCAAAAATCGCAAAGTTTAATTCCTTGCAGATATCTGTAAAACTAAAAACAAAATTTAAATACTAAGTAATTTTTTTTCTTTAACATTCAATTTCAGTTATATGTAAAATAGAAAAATTTAATTAACTGCTGATAAAATGAATCTAGACCACATATCACTTGTACAGATGAGTATTGCATTTTGATTTTGTTGGTATTTTGTTACCATAACACGTGTGCGTGCATTACTGAAAAATCCCATATTTAAAAATGTAATTGGGATATTCAGCGAGATCGATGATCAAATTTTGTTTGTTTTTCTTATTTTAAAATTGAACTATAGTACAAAAAATTTGAGATGAAAAAGAAAACTCACATACGAAGTTCATTGTAAATTATTTGATTTTGTAAATATTTTAACATCGAGTTAATAATAAATTTTAATAAAAATATTTACTTTACAAATCATATAAAAATAATGATGATAAAATTATATCATAACACATTACAATAATATCGTTCTGTTACGAAAATTATTTAAAAAAATATCACCTAATTTTTATTGTGGCTAATAAGATGCTAATTACAATCCGTTGAATGTAAGAAATATGATAAATTTGTAGATATAAAATAAAAAAAAATTTTATTTGTTTTGAACATTAAATATACATTGGTATCTACACTTTGTGAATAGTTTGCATTTAACTATTTTACTGCATTGTAAATTTTTTGAGTTAAGGTAGAATTAGAATGTTGCAAAATAATTATCAGACTTGTCCCTTATTGCATTAACATTACATTAATAGATATTATTTTCTTTTAGGAATTCAAAAATGCTGGACCAACAAAAAAATTAATTGTTTTTGAAGAAAGTGGATTTACAAAATCCATGGAATAGCATTCACCAACGGTTCGCGGTGTACCTATGTAAAGCACCTCATATATTTTATGTTGAACAGAAAAAATTACCTGTATGTTACATTATTATGTTGAAATGAAAATGGTGGTAATGAAATATTTGGAAATCCCGGTACAACATTCTTACTTAAGAGGAATAACTCTTCATTATCTGGTGATTCTTCAATTAATATGTAAATAATGGTAGCTGCTACACAAACAACAATAACATTTCTTGATAACACAACATATTTTATAAAGGTTTTAAGATTTCTCTGTTCTTTTTCAAATTTGATGCGAGATAATTGCTAAAATATGGAACATTATAAGTTAAAATTTCATACTAAATGCTGGTTAATTTGAAAGCACATTTAATTTCTTCCTAACACATACTTTTACATCATAATTTGTTTTAGAATAGTATGTATACTTACCTTTAATAACATTAAAAAAATAATTGATCCAGTACCCATTAAAACATCAGGCCATCGTGATTCCGATATTCTTGTTGTCCATTCTATTATTGAATTGATAAAACCTGGTACAACGTAAACTAAACCTAAAATTGATTTGATCTGAGATTCAGTCACCAATATAGCTGTTGCTGAAGTAAATGCTTTTATTACTGGTAATGATATAAAATCAAAAATAAAACCTAGAAAATTGAAACAACCATATTAGGAATTTTAAACTATTTTTTTTTAATTAAAAGATATGAAAAAAAAGACTTCCACTGAAAAATTTTGTAAAAAACCAACATTTGTACGGCTCATACCTAGTCGTAGTATACCAAAAAGTAACTCCACACATCCAGCTAAAAATGTTATGATAATAGAAAATTCAATTGGTTTTCCAACTGTAAATTGTACTGCAACCAGAGCGACAAGACTTGTTGGCCCAATAATGCATTTATTTACGCTACCAAATATCAAATAAATAAGTTGTCCTTAAAATAAATAAAAAAGAATATACATATTTTAATCATTCTTAATATAAACATTTAATTTTAATATAAAATTATATGATTTAATGAAAGTAATAGAGTTATCTGCATGGAATTATGCACATGCAAAAACAATTAGATCTCAATTTTATCATTTTTTGACACAAAATGCTTCTGAGAAAATGTTTCGTTAATAATAGCTTTCGCTATAATATAATATAAACAAGGTTTATAATGTAGCAAAACCGAAATAATTTTTTCAAACATTTTACAAATATTCGCTAATTAATCAAATTTTCAATTAAGTAATTGATTAGTACCTCTTCTTGGAATTCAGTTCTTTCACCTTTTTTATGCTATAAAATTTAATGACTATTTAAAACAAATCCAAAGCAAGCATACAAAATAAAATTTTGTAAATTTTGAGTTAAATATGCCAATATTTTTAGATTTTGGTTAAGTTAAAATTAATTTCATATACCACACCATATCGGAATCTGACTGCAAAGCCATTTTAAAAGAGTTTCAGATTTTTTAAGGCCAAATTCCTCTACGTAGGTTATTTTTAAATTTAAAAATTTATTTATATATTGATATCTAATTAAAAAATACGCATTTAATTTAATTTCCTATTCACGTATGTATTAATAATTTATAATTAATTATTCATGTTTAATTAACTTTACTTCGATAAAAACCGAAAAACAAATTAACCAGACAATAAGTAAATATTTAATTACAATTTAAATATTTAACGCTTTTATACGAAAAATCTCAAATTAATTCTAATCATCAATCGAAATTTAAATTGTGCATTCAAATATTGCAAACGTAATTCATAGGTTCTCTGAATTTCTTACTTGTTATTTAAATTATTTCGTTCTAAGCCCTCTTATTAAGATGCAAATTATTTATTTATTTATTTTATTTACTTTAATGCTTAGAATGCCTTTAGTGATTTTCCTCGTGATAAGGCTCTACAAATAATTTTTTAACTCAACAGTAAACTTTTTTTAATGCATTAATTGAACAAAGTATTTTTTTTAGTTAAAATTTAGTTAAAGCATCAAACGTACGATGGTAAATAGGTAAATAAGTGTAAAACTAAAAAGTAAATTTAACAAAATCAAAATTAAGTTATTAAAGTAAATTTTTTTGTTACACAAATTACTTTACATTAGAAAGAAAAATTTTTTCAAAAAATATTTTTATTAATTCTGGCCGATTTAAAAGTTTCAATTTTTATTAGCATAAAACTATTATAAAGTACAACATACGTACATATGATTTTATTTATTAATTTATTTATTTTTTTTTTTAAAAATTGATTTGTACGATCAGTATTCAATAGTTCATTCCGAATCGTTATCAAAATATGAAATGAAAATGTGCTAAATGAATTTGATTTTAAAAATAAACAAGGCACACCAGTATATTTCAATTATATTTAGTTTCCTATCAAGAATTTTAGAATTCATTCACTTATTTATTTTGTTTAATTTGTACAAATAAAATTGAAATCAAACTGCTTAATATTAAAGGCCAAGATTTTTATTTCAAACAGATTTATATTGAATTGCGTATCAAAATTTATTTTTCATTAAAAATTTAAGCTAAGATCCAATAAAAATTGCATAGATCTTATATATGAAATAAATTGTATCATAATTGCCGGTTTTAATTTACATATATTGCAATTATATTCTCTCTTTACAACCATTATTATTAAATGGTAATTTTAGACAGTACTAATATTTAATTATGTTTGAAATTATAATTATTTGAATTGTTATTTGTGAAATTCTCTGTTCTAGTTATCTGAATTGATTTACTGATAAAGATCATAGTTAAAACAGTGCATCAAAATTCATTTTGTTGTAAAGAGTCACAAATCTCACCTCTTTAGTTATAATATTTCAAATAAAATTTTAAATAATATTCAAGGTCAGAATAATGCACAAATAAAATATTATAGAGTGCGTGAATAAAATTGAAATAACTAATTCAATGACCCCCAAAAGCTTTGTTAATACAATTGACAATTGCTAGTTTTTGCGTATATGCTAGTATTTGTGTGAAAATTAAATAATTAGGCATACATCTATTTTGATAAGATCTTGTAACTACAAAGCATTATTTGTGAGTGCTTATTAAATTTTTCACAAAATTTGTTTTATTGTAATATTAAATTTAACTCAAGTTTGAATTTTTGATTTTTGGTTTTTTTTACCCATAAATGATGAATATAGTCCATATTGAGGTGGTAAATTAGCTAATAGAGCACAAGCAATACTTTCCGGTATTATTGTTAAACCTAGTGTAACACCAGCTATAAAATCACTTATAGCATATTTACAATTGTATTGACCAATCCAATTTAATATATAAAATACATTTTTTGCTGATTTTCTTATTTTTGTTTTAATTTCATTATTGTTATAATTTTCATTTAAGTAATTTGAACTCTTACGACGATTTTTTATTATACTTTTTATATTTGGTTTATCATCATTATTCAAATGTTCATTATTAGTACTTGATATACTTGCACTTATATTATTTTTATTATTATATTCATTTAATAATTCATCTGTTATATTATTATTTTTATTTGGTAAATCCATTTTAACTTTTTAAATATTTTAATTTTAAATTTAATTTTAATCAAAATAAAATGGAAATATTTTAACACCTTATGGTTACATAGATTTTTAAATAGCGTAACAAGAATTCAAACGACTGATCATGTTCAAACTTCAAGTTCAACTAAATGATTTAAGATAAAAATCTGAGATTATAAATAAGAAAATATTAATACAATCACATTAAAATATCACGGAAAATTTACAAAAAAAAAAGTATGTACACGAAAGTTAGTGTTGATCAACGTTTATTTTCTTGTTGTTGTTGTAAGGAAGAATACATGGGCTTTTGTATTTTTAAATTTTATAAAATTTTCATTCAAAGAAAGAGAAAGAGTGATAATTTTGTACAAAAAAATTATAAGAACAAAAAGGTACTTACAGTTAATAAGCTAAAAACTACAGGGTTCGATCTTACACTACAATCATAAATACGAATGATAGTTGAAAAGTTTAGAACCTTAAAGTATATTTTTTATTCATATAAACCATTCATACTTAATTGTAGAAATAATAAAATTTAGATCTATATTGAATAGTTTAACAAAGTTGTTTAACACAGGGTGTTAGTTTGCATTCACGTTAGCTAAAACAGCGATGTATTTATTTGATATCATTATCAAACTGTTATATTAAGGCTATCTTGAATGAGATTGTTTGGTTCATAATTCTTCTGTTGTTTCTTATTTTTTAAAAAACTTAAGTTCTATTTTAGTTCAATTAATATTTTTTTTGTATTCCACAATTACAAACACATATTACTTATTACAATATTAAATATTATTAAAAAATCACGGGAACAATAAATTTGATTTCACAACGATGATTTGTGAATTTGGTGCAAAATTAAATATTAGCTATTTAATTAACATATTAGAGTTAATTTTTGATAAAGATATTAAATTTTATTAAAATTTTTTTTTTGAATTTTCGATTTTTCTTGTAAATATTTAAATTTTAAATTAAGATGTATATATATTATATAAATGTTTATATAAGAATTAAAGTTGTCTGTAATAATAATTGAAATATTAAAAAAAAAAATTCTAAAACAAAACGTCACTAGTAATTTTTATGTTTTGTGAAGAAAAACAGAATTTTTTGGGTCCGATTAAAAGCGATATATGTAATTTGATAAATTGACGTATGTATTTCTTTTTATCTTAAAAGTTATTTTTTTAAAGGATCAATATTTTATATCCTTCCTTTGTTCTTTTGGTTTAAATTTCAAAATGCAATCTGCGCATTTTGAAAAAATTTAAATATATCTAAATATTTTGTGTGGAACACACGTAAATATACTTTTGCATATGCAGATTAGTGTATGAATCTGGTATAGGTATTTAAAAAGCGCAGGTGATAACCTTGAAAAGTGAGTTTAGTTGTTCTGATCCTTGATTGTTTTTGGAAAATAAAATTTCTATTTAAAAGGGGTAAATTTTACAAAACAAATTATATTTTCTTTATTATTTTCTTTAATCTTTACAAAGAGATTCTACTTATTTAAAATAGTAAAAATTAAAATTTCGATTGGCAGTCTAGTCATTTCATAACTTAATTTCAATTTATTTTCATAATTTTGAGTTTTTCAAATTTAGAATTTATTTAAACTATGTACATACTTTAAACTTGCAAAAACAATAAAGCGATTGTAAATCTCTTGTTTATCGCCGTAATTATATTATAATTATATTTCATTATTTTGAAAGAAGCAAGTTTCTAATATATTTCTTAATAAAATGAGATAACGGAATACAGTTTTTACTCAAGCAATCGCAATTGTTCAATTTTTACTATGAAGATTTCCGAATCTTAGAAAATACTGATTTCGAAAATTTCCAAGTCTTCACTCTTTTAATATCCTATTTTTAATTAGTATTAGTCAAAGTAACCAAGTTTAAGAAAATTAAACGCAATTTGATGAGCGAAACCCATGTTGACTAACACAATTGAATATTTTTGAATACAAAAGTAAATGGCAGAAAATCTTTTTGTTTGTTGTTTATTCCATATTTCAATGTCATGGTCATATTCAAATGATATTGAATAGAATTGAATAATATGTAGGTACCGTTTAAGTGTTGAAATATTTATGCATATATTTTATACTTTTAACCTATATTACGTTTCTAATATCCTGCGAACTGTTCTATATATTTTTCAATAAAAAAAAATATTGCGCAATAATTTTGAATAACAAAGCAAATAAAATATAAAAACATTTTTTTTGTTTTTTTTTTTATTTTTTAGCCAAATAGAATCAAGGTGTTTCTTATGGACTGAATGTGATTTAAGCATTTTAATAAAACGAGAATAAATTAAAAAATATTTTTTTAATGATGCAGGAGTAAGCACTAGAGTTGGAGATTCTTATGTAAGAATATTGAAAACAACTTTATGAAAAAGCATTTTCAACAAAAACAAATTAATTTTTCCGATGTACTCGTTGGAAACTTGAAACTGTACCTTGGTGACAGCGATAAGTAAGAAAATATTCTGTGTCCTCCCAGTGCGCATCATGTGACTGTACCAGTAATAACCAATTTTGATAGTTTTTAAGATTTCGTGGACCCCAATTTCTACAATAGGAAAGCCAGTTTAATTACACCCATCTTTATTATTTTCTAGTAGAATCTCTGGTCAAAACCACAAATTCTGAAGTTTTTTACTTTGTTCTTTGTTTACCAACGACAAATGGTTTAATTGTCCAACAACAAAAGTCACTGATTTATTTCCTCCTGCGCACAGTAACACAGCTCAAGTGAAAACTATTATCGCAGACGATATAAAATTTTATGAATTTCGCCTTTCTAATTTTGTGACTATTCGAAATTATGTTTCTATGCTTTACTTGATATTTTTCCTTACAATCGAGTAGAAAAGATATACCGGTACCTTAAAGACTTTCATTGTAATTTAATTTACGTTAATAATACTTATAATTTTATAACCACACATTTAAAAGTGAAAAGTTTAATTTCAATTTTGGTTTTTTTTCGCTTTTTTAGAAATTTGAAGCAGCAACAATTTTATGAACAGCATTATTATTATTGTTGGAATAAGCAGCTTTATGCCATTAACATGCTACTTGATGTTCTGTTAAAATGAAAGCAGAAGGAGTAAGTGTACCAGAATAGAATAAGAATTAATGGGCCATTTTCTCTTTATCTTCGTTATAATTCGTATAAGCATTCCACTCTTCATACATTTTTAATTTTTATTCAAACTTATTTTAGCAATACATTTTAAAGCAAAAACATGAAAAAAACAGCATAATTTTTCAAAAATATAGAAATATCCTTCATGTAATATTACATAGGGTGAAAAAAAACAAAACAACATATACAAGTTCATATTTATATACACAAACATTAAGAAAGAAGACATCCTTAAACAAAACGAAATCCACAATGGAGTAAGTAAGCAAAGTTAACTTGAAATATCCTTGTAAAAAGATTTGAAATGTTAATTTTTTTTCTTTTCTGCGCATTTTTTTTACATTCTTTCATCCGTTTTTTTTTTAGAAAAGACTTCACAAAACTTCAACTCAGTATGTGTTTTTGTATTTATCTTTAAAAACACCTTCTAGAGTAGCGTTTTAGTTTAAATTTTAAACTTATTTTCCTAAAGCAATATACTTAAATAATATTGGACATTTTTAAATGTTAAATATTGTAAATATTGTGAGAAAATGTTAGCACTCATATTATGAAATGAGAATAAAATTGGGCGCTCATAGGAAAACTAATAAACTTAATAACAATTTAACATGGTATCTTTAATTGAAATAAATGAACAGAATTGAAAAATTTAAGTTGAAATCTAAAATTTTTAGTTTAAGGTTTGGTTTTCACTTGATCTAAAACCCCTAAAACTACCTTTCATAATTGATCAATGAAGATTTAGTGCTCCAAAAGAATATTTATTTACAAGAATTTTAAATATTTTAAATTTTATGAACCGACATGAAACAGAAAAATTAAAAGATTTTCTCTTTATTCTTTGAATAAATAGAATAAGAAAAGCAAAAATTGAAAAAAGATATTAAATGAGAAATTTTACTTAAAATTCAACTATATTTGTTTTGAGTTCTCAAATTTGTATTGAAAAGAAGTATGTATATTGTCCATCAAGGAAAAGATTTCCAAATTTTCATTTTAGTTTTCCTTTTTGCATACTTGAAAAATATTTGCATACTTGGAAAATGTATTTAAAAATCTATACAAAGTAACTACAAAATAGATTGCGTGACATTACAGTAGGCGAAATCGAAAATGATTTGATACTCGTATTCATGCTTCCACTTGCTCACGTTAAGGTACAACATGTCAATGTGTACTATTATAATTAATTATATTATAAATCCTATTAAAATTTAAATAAATAGATATGTAAATGTAGTTTTCAATTTAAGCTTAAACAAAATCTGTATTTGAAAGACTAAAGTATCAGTGTTGCGACTTACATAAAACGCGTGGCATTGCATTTTCTATAAATCAGTTACAAAATGAGATTTTATTGGTTTTGCATCAACTTCACAATAATTTTAACAAAACCGTTGAAAGGTATTTTGCAATTGAAGAAAAAGTTTTTAAGATTTTCTTCAGCATTAAAAGAACTTTAACTAAAAGTAACAAAAAATATTATAAATTTTTTTAAATAAGCAAAGAAGAAAAAAATTTTAACAGAAATTACTTTCAAGCTTTCAAATAATAAAAAATGAAAAACAAAATGTGTGAAGGGAAGAAATTTAAAAGAAAAGGATAGAATAAATTATTGTTATACAACTTACCTGTAACGACCTTTTTTCCTCTTTCACTATGGATTAATACAAGTGTAGATGATAATATGCATATTAGTTTTCATTTAGAATAGTCCTGCATCAGGAAATTTTTATTCAGTCTCTTAAATAAAAAATTTGAAATTTTAATTTGAAGAAAAATTAAAATATTCTTCAGTTTTTACTTTTTACTAAATATTCACTTTGTACTTATCTGCCTAGTCTGATTTAATTTGATTGCAGTAAAAACTGCTTGTTGCATCCTTCATATATACAATGTGTAGTTCTTGCAAGGATTCTTTAATACATTGAATTTAAATTCTCTAAACTTGAAGATAATGCTTATATTATGTAAATATTTCAGATTTTTTAAATGCATTATTTTAGTAGAGCAGACATCTTATACAAAATTATTCTAAAATGTTAAAAAAGTTTGAATAAAATTTGGATTCATCACAAGAAGCTTTAATGAACAATAAGTTAAAGTTAAAAAGTTTGATTAATTTTGAGTTTGTCGTGAATTCCAAATAAAACCAAAGATCTTCTGATTTTTTAAACACTATTAATAAATTATAAGAATACTAGAAGAATTGCTATATTGCAAAATTTAAAAACTTTTTAAAGAATTTGGAATTTTTCCAGTTCTTATTAGTTTTTTTTTTTCAATAAATTTTTACACTTAACAAAATTCACATTCTTAGCAAAAAAAAAAATTTTAAATTCCCATATGTTTTGTATAAGATTTGAAGTGGTTCAGAGCAAGTCAAAATTCCATCCACATTTTTGAAATTGTTAGCAATTCTTAAATGAAATATTGAAACAGAAAAACTTTTAATTTATTTTATGTAAACAGTTAAACCATTCTTAACGCCATTGTACAGGTCATTGCTCTATCAATAACGAAACGAAAAGTAAAATTTAAGAAAATATTTAAATAAAGTTTTAAAAGAAAAATTCCGTAATCAGTAAAATAGTATTTACGGATTTAAAAATTTCCCTTTTATGTATACATTCTCTATAGAGCAAATTAAAATTTAAAAGTACCACAACTTCGTGTATACCATGTAACTACATTAGAACAAAATGCTACTCAAACGAGGATAAAAGAAGATTCAATCCTGTTCTATAGAAAATTAAGAAGAATGTTGCAACAAAAAAAGTATAAAATATACGAGTGATCAGGATGAAGGATATTTGCTTTTTTCTCTTTTTTTTAACATGTTATATAAAATAAAAGTTTAATCCTTCATTTAAAAAAGAAATGAATATGTTGATGTAGGGAAAAACTAAAAAAAAATAATACTTTGAAAATGAACAAAAGTTAAAATTTAGGTTATGCTCTATATAAATCAACAACGACAACAATTTTAATAGATATGATAAGACCATAACAAGGGATTCTGTGAATAACCACACTACTGTATACCTTATTCTGATAGATATAGATAGATATAGATTTGACATAAAACTCAGGAATTTAACAGTGAATTTTAGTCCTGGCGTTCACTAGGATCAGCATTTTTTGCTATTTTAGATATTTAATTGTTGATTTTATTTAGATTTTATTTCAAAGTTCTGGAGAACATTATTTGGTACACCTTGTACAAATAAAACAATTTATTCATTATAGACGAAGGCATAATGAACAAAAAATTTCTGTAGGAAAAATCTTAAGAAACTAAGGATATATAAAAGTATGAAAACAAAGAACATTTTATAAAGCCACATCACCCATACACATTGTCCTAATACATAAAAGTACAAAATATGAGGAGCATCCTTTCTTTGCAGAGAACAAGGAAATGTTTACTTTGGGCTTAACTTTGAGAAGTGAGCAAGATAAAAAATTTTTAGATTGTTGATAGCAGAATTTGAATGAAAATGGCTGATTTAACCTTAAATTGATTATGCAAATTTATGATTATTCTCAACTATAAACTTCAAGTTTGAAAATTTAAGTTAATTTAGTTTAGAAAATCTGCTTATCAGAGTTTTGAAATCTTAGTGTGTTTTACTAAAAAATAAAAATATTGAAATTTAGTCAAATAAAAATTACACAAATTGAATAAATTTTTACTGAATTAGAATATTGTAAAATCTCGATTTTGTGTTAAATTAAATAAGGTTATTTTGCAGTATTTTTATAAAAATTTATACCTTTAATTAATATGTATTATATTATGAAGGTAAAAGTAAGAAAAAAACTAATTTTCAACGTTCAACTTCCTGTACATTACTCCTTACAAAAGACGTTAAAATTCTTACATTATGTGTATGTATACGGTTCATAATAATAAATGGATTATGAGTATAACTTACATGTATGTATGTATGTATATAGAACAAAAAACTTGAAAAATAAAATGAATAATCTGTTCTTTAATGCAAAAATGTAAATATTCTTAAGGCGAAAAGTAAGTTTGAATTTCTGTATAAACTTTAACATAAAAGAGGGATAAAAGTATCATTAAAATTGAATAAAACTTCATATCATAAAATACAGGGCGTTTCAGAATCCGTACACATATAATCAATAAAGTTTCCGAAATGATTGTAAGTCAAAAGCAGATTTTCTAATTCGAAAACTAGAACCCAAATGAAAGTGAATTACTCGCAACTGTAATAAAATTAGTCGATTGCACAGTACTAAATTTTCTTATACGTAACAATTAGAATTTAATTACCTAATATAAGAAGTATAATTACATATTCTCTTTTCAAAAATTTCAGTGTATGTATATACATAACATTTAAATTTACCTAAATTCCCTCTGGTGCCTTCTTTCAGTGTTTACGAATTGAAACACTATGTACGTATAAAACACAAACTGGAGTATAAGTGAATAAATGTAATATATGAATAAAACTTTAGTATAAAATTCTCAAAACGTGAATACTTTCGTACTTGTGTACATTAAAATGATAAAAAAATTTTATAAAAGTTACTACACACACTTTTTGATTCAAAAGAATTTTAAAAAGTTTTGTGAACTCTTTCTGGGTGAAACAGCTCAAAAAAAAAATGATTATACATTACAGTGCATATACAAAAAATAGAAATGTTATTATATTCCTATAAACTTCTGTTTCCATATACATACTATATACATATTGGAAATTCGTGTAACAAATAATGTGCAATTGTAAAACAGACAAAAATATTGAGTTTACATATTGTATACGTACATATACGCAATGTAAATGAATGAAATTATAGAAACAGCAAAAAAGGAATTTTTATAATTATTAAATAAAAAAAATTGAATACAATGTACATATATATCAAATGTTTCGAATATTTTTGGGAATATTAAGAGAAAAATTTAAAAATGTGATGTGAAACAAAATATGTGCTATTACTGTGACATTGTACAGTGCTCTAAATTTTATATTTTTTAGTAAATTACTATTAGTATTTAAAACGGTGTCTCGTTGAAAAGCTTTTTGAGCTCAAGGACATCAATTTACATTTTAACTTTTCATTGAATTAGAATTTTTATTTTTATGTGAAAGCTTTGTGCAAAAGAATGAAAATTTACACAGAATGAAAATATGTAGAATATTGTATTTATGAGACACTAAATATTCAAACCACATTCACACGTGTAAACATAAATACATTGTTCTTATATTTGGCGATTATAATAATAACCTCCTTTTTTATAGAAATATTATAGAGATAGAGACAATTTCTTTAAACAACTGCAGCAGTCGACGCAGGCAGAAGAAGGAATATCGAAGAATACCTACCGATCTTCAAATCAATGCGGTAATACATCAGTTATTATTGCAACTTGGACAGTTTTTCAAAATTTCTCCAAACCTCTGTACTTCATTTGGTGGTGCATCCACCTAAAAACAATTAGTCACAAAACAGTTTATTCCCGCAGTTCAACTTCTGGTTTGCTTCAAACAACTTTATATTTACTGTGTCTAGTGTATAATTCCTACTTGTATTAAAACTGTAAACAAATGCATACTGTTCGTTGTCATATTTAATTAATATTAAACCACAGCCACTTTTTAAAAGATTCTAATTTCCTTCCTCTTTCTTTTTTATTTCGTTTTCATTCAAAATAATTTTCGTCCCTTTTATTATATATGAATTAATTTTCATTATTATTTTTGTGTTTGTTTTGTGTATATGTGAATTTCTTCTATTAATTATTTCCATTTCACTTAACTAACGCTGTTGTTATTTTTTCTTTTCATGCTTGCCATCACAATCTTCACCATTATTACTATCATTGCTCGCTGTCATCATCGTTATGAATTGTCATGAATATCATCATCATCAACAAAAATTATTATTATCATAAAATCATCATTCGATTCACTATAATCAAGACTGTGATAATTTTAATTGAGAAAAATAATTATAACTGTAAAAACGAAAGTGAAGTTGATTATCTCGTAAGCATATCGTTTTCATTTCAGTTTCCTTTTTGTTTTTTATATTTATTATTTTTTGTCTCCTTTATATTTTTCTTTCTTCAACATATTTTTAAATTTTTTCGTTTACATTTATTTTTCTTATTTTAATTCACATAAATTTTTAATATTTTAATTTGAATCCTTTCTTTTTGTAAAACTGAGAAGTTGGTGATGAAAAAAAATTCAAAAGACGTGAAGCTACAAATATATCAGGATTTATCAAAAAAGAAAAAATGAAAAATGTTGATAATTTGAAGTTTTATTTGGCTGGCCTTTATGTGATAGCTTTTGAGCTATACAAAAATCTTTTAAATGATTTTGTGGAACAAACAGAAGAAGTTGCTAGGGCAGAAATTTTAATTAATTGTATCGTTTGATATTGCGCGGAAACACAATTGAAATATTTCTCTTTCATAAGCTTGCATAATACTGGAATGTTTAGTACAATTCAATGCAGAGCATTGAATAAAATGTTAAGCATTTCAAAACTGAAACATAAGTGCAATGTAGACCACGAGGGAATTGAGAAAGACAAAATTTGAAGCATTTCAAAATTGAAATATATAATAAGTGCAATGCAGACTACGGAAGAGTTGTGATGGGACATTACTTGTTAAAATAAAAGCATATTTGAAACAAATTGTGACAAATTTCGTAAGTAAATACCAACACCTTATGCTTCTCATTTTAAAATAATGAAAATTGTTCAAAAAAATACTAAGTACTCGTAAATAACAAAATATGAATGATAGCATACTAAATTGTCTTAACATTTAAAATATTTTTATAAATATATATATTTGGGGCATACTAATGAATTTGAATGAATTTTCATGACATAAAATATGAGTTTCTGTTTTGAAAAGTGGGAAAATTTATAACAAATTATATAATAATTCAAAAATATATTATTGTAGTTGAAGGACCAGTTCAACATTAGTTCTATTTTAACTTTTTAAGTGTTAGGAAATTTCGCTTTAGATTTTTCTTACATGTTAATCAAATGCAGGAATCTTTTTAAATTTTGTTCTCTCCTCTAATTTCTCACAGTATTATTTTTCGATGAATTATAGACCAGTTATCCTCTGTTTTCCACTTTCTTGAACATAGTTGGAAGACATTTGGGAATTTTTTATATGGCACTTTTCAAAATAACTCTTCAAGACCAGACCACGACTCTTAGTTGGAATGCTTACTCTAAAAATTAAAATTGTGTTAAAATGAATAAATTATGGAATGAATAAATTGTAGTAATAGATTACAAACGATTCTATTACTAGATATTTTTAACTCATTTTTATGAAATTTTTAATACTCACAACTCAATTGTATCCAAAATTTAGCCAAATATGTATACCTTCCTCCATTCAATGTTTTATTTTCTTCTCATAATGCTGACAACGTAACCAACACGATAGAAAAATAAAAAGTATATTTGCGTTAATGAGCTATTTAGGCAATGAAAAGTCATTTCTGTTTTTGTCAACGGGCGTTGCTTTTTTTGTTATTCATTTGAGTTGAGAAAAGGACCAAAAAATAATAAAAATGAAAATATTTTGTGAGTTTCCCTCCTTCTCTTTTATTTTTGTATAAAAGGGATAATGCTTTTTTTATCCAAGGTTTGGTGCTTTTTTTTTTGTTTAACAAGAAAATAATTTGCGTTTACGATTTTTGTTAAAAATTTATATAAAATTTCACTCATCTAATAATACCGATTAAAGAAGTTAAAACTTTTCCAACAAATCATAATATTTTTTTTATACAAAGAAATTCTGATTAAAATTAGGAGCCAAGAACACAGCGAATTTTTGTATATTTGTAATTAATTTATGCTTATTTACCTACGTTTTTGATCTGTAAGTTTCCTATTGTTTTTTTTTTTAAATGTAGAGGGATTTCACATCGCTTCGTCACATTCCCATTAAAAAAAATATAAAAACATGCTTTCTTCAACATTCAAAAAAAAAAGGGAAATTTTTAAATATACACGTTCTCCTGAATATATGCAATAATTTATAAATTCTTATAGATTCAAATAAATTGCATACTTTGAACAATTTTTTTTTATTTGAAGTATGATTTGTTAAGAAGGAATGAATTGTTAAGTTGAATTTTAATGATATATTCTCTTACAACTTGATAAATTTTGAAAGCATCAATTATTAAGAAAAATTATACATGGAATATCTTAGCACAAAAGTATAATTAAACTCAATAATTATGTAAAAAATAGGATACGATTTCTTAATATGCAACGATACTTTAAAGCTTACATAAAATTTATTGTGCCAACGATCTAAATATCATTGGAACTTATTTTTAATACTAATAACATAAACTTAGTACGTGATTTTTCAGATAATTTGAATTTATTTTATTTTTGTTTTTTCATTATTTTTACCTTTGTTTATATTCAGCTACCTGTATTTTAAAAAGGGAAACAGAAAATAATAATTATCCTTTTAATCTGTGAATTGCTATTTACAAAATGTTTATCAAGATTTTTCTTTTCTTTTCGTTTTTATTTTCCACCCCTTTTAAATTCATATACGTATTTATTTTGTAAAATGTATTTAACAATATACTAAAGGATATAAAATATAAAGATAAATTACAATATAATGTACATGTATAAGAATGGAATAAAGAAAATAAAATGATTGATAATTAAAGGGTTAATTTAAAATTTTAATAAGATTTTTTTTTAACGTAATATATACATAGGTCTATCGAAATCAAAGATTACTGAAATTTAATGTTCAAATAGTGTTTAATTTTTTTACATAATAAAGAGCTATAGCTGTTTGTTAGTTAGCAAAAAAATAGAAAGTCTAAAAGACATTAATGATCAAATATATATTTTTGTAGTAAAAAGAAAATGTACAAATAAATTTTTAAAGTTTAAAAATTTCTTTTCACAGGTAAAATATAAAATTAAAGTTGCTCTAATTGTAGACACGAAACACAAAAGCATAATCCAATTTCTGAAAGAGAATGAAAAAGAATAACAAATATCGCATTAAGTTAGCAATATTTTGCATCATTACAAAGCATATAGTATAAAAAATTACATTATATCCTTTACCTAGGTACAATATACTTTATATATTTCCTTATACATGTATAAAATATTCGTGTAAATTTTATATATGTATTGCAAGTACAAACCCCAGTACATGTTATATTTATTGTTTTTCCCGTAAAATTATTTTTAACAATTTCTCTTGTTCTTCTTACATCCTTTATAAATACGCAATTTCTACTATATATTATAATGTATACAACTCTATGTTCTTATACACCCAAACCTCGCTTTACGGCCTAGATACGTTCCGCGAAACTTGGCCGTAAAGCGAAAAGCCGTATAACGAATCAATTATTCTAATACGTATTCATACAAATTCAATGGGATCGGTTCCAAATTTGATAAATATATAATATGGTTTATCATTCAAAATGCATTTTATTTTTTTATTTTGTTTAAATTATAAACATATTTAACAAGAACACAAATTTTACATAAAATAAAAAACTCCAAAAACATTACATAATTTTTAAATAAAAATGAAACAACTAAAACCTACAGATCACTGTAGGTCTAAAAAATTGTCTAAAGTTGTTTGTCTTGCCTTCTTGTCTATTTCTTCCTTTAGTGATTTATAACAGCTAATGGCTGAGTTAATTCCTCGAGACACATTAGCGCCACGTTCGACGTCAGGATCGTTTTCAAGGAGGATGTTTATTCCTTGTTCAAAATAAGAAAAAGCGCTCGACATGATTTTTGGTGTTAGCTGTTTGGATACAACAGGCTCTGTATCTTCATCAATTGCTGGTTTTGCTTGCAACTGAATGAGTTCCTCATATGAAAGGGGTTCCCTATCAGCTGCAAGCAGATCCAGCACATCAGATTCGTTTAAATCTTCAAAACCGAGATCATGTGCTAAATCCAAAATGTTTTGTCTAACTTCAGGAAGGAAATTAACTTCTGCATCGGTAGTTTTTATACATTCTGGCCATATTTTTTTCCAAACATGGTTCATTGTTGTCGATTTTAATTCCTTCCAGGATTCACTAATGTTCTCAACAGCATCCTTGATATTATAGTTTTTCCAAAACGTTTTAATTGATGATGTACCATCGGTTTCACTTATAAGTTGTTGGAATGTTCGGCGTAGGTAATATGCTTTAAACGTGGCTATTGCACCCTGATCCATTGGTTGGATCAGAGCTGTTGTATTTTTCGGAAGGTACTCAATCATCACATCTTCTGATAGTTCGGATAAATTAGTAGGATTAGAAAAAAAAGCCGTTGTAGCAAAACATTTTAGGCCGTATATCGAAAACGTACCTTAATTAAAGAGGGCCGTTATAGCGAAAGGCCGTATAAAGAGCGGCCGTATAGCGAGGCTTGGGTGTATAAGAATATATGAAAATGATAAAATGTTGGTTAAGCATTTGCTTTGTATTTAACTTGTTATTTCAATTTTATATTTGAACGCCAGATACAAACATACATACATGTAACAATATATTATTAACACATACTTTTAACAAGTTTATTAGTCCTTTTTTTCGCTTGGGGACATTAAATTAAACTTCAATTACTCAAACTTTATACATATGTATATTTATGCAAGTATAGATATACATATGTATATTTTGATTTAACTATAGTTTGAGTAATTGAAGTTTAATATATGTATGTGTTCCCTTAAAAAGATTTTAGAATATAAAAATGTGCGTTTATAAGGGGTGTTCAAAAATATATGTAAAAGGAATGTATTAAAATATGAAAAACATCTCGAATATGTTCACATACATTAAGAGGAATAAATATTAAAAAATTAGTTGAAATATTAAAAAATTGTCCTATTGACAGTGATTAACGTTAACTTTTCATGTTAGATTACAAATTTCTTGGGCTTTTCTATTTATAATTATGAAATCCTTATTTCCTTTAAATTATTTTTTTAATAAGTTTTCATAATATTTTTTTATTATTTTTATTTCTTCTAGAATTTTATACTTATATATTTTTTCATTATTAATATTAAAAGGTAGTTTCCTTTTGTTTTTCCCTAAACAATGTTTTTTATAGGCGGACATTGTTCTGTTTTGTTAAAAAATTTCTATTGTTACATTTGCGTGATAATTAATTCTATATAGTTTTGTATTTGTATGCGTATTTTTTTATTTTGAAATGGATATTCCGATTAGGAATAATAAAATGATTTGGTTGAAGATTTCAAAACGAAATTTTCTAAAAAAAACTCTCTATCACTTTTATTTCGGCACAGAAAACACTGAAGTTTATTGTAATTTAACAAGTCGTACAGCAGTATTTTAGATCAGGAGTAATAAAAAAAATTGATTCAATGTTTAAATTTGCTTAAAAAAAATTATAACGTTGTTCTCAATTTAAGTCCCAATAAAATTTTCCCACTCATTTAAAACCCTACAGTAGAATTATTAGAATATTTCGAAAATACCACAAACAAGAGAATATCAAAAGTAAATTTATTTATGAGAAAGGTTGAATATTTTGTTAGCTTTTGAATATGCACATATTTACATATTTATAACGTTTGAATTTTATTATTGTTGTTTTTATTGAAATTTATTACTGTAATAATATTTTGAAAACTGATGATGACAATTCATTTTTTGCTTCAATTATAATATCCTCATAAATCCTTACACTATGTTTGTGTATAATAACCAAGCATGTACATCTTTAGTATGACATTTATATAAGTGATTTTTGAATATTTTCTCTTTCTCTTCATTCTTCTTGTTTATAAAATTATTTATATACTTAAATACATTAAAAAACGAGCGGGTATAACATAAAAGATTGAAATGTTATGACATGGTGACCCATTTAATTAGTATAGTAGCCTTGATTTTTCTTTAAATCCTTGGGTTTATGTTTTTGTTGTTTTGTTTTTAAATTATATTATGCATGAAAATCAATAGAAATTTTGTTTTCAATTTTTATTAAATAAATGAAACAAAGAAGTGTAATCTATGAATTAAAAATGGAGTATAATACTTTGAAAAATTGTTATTTGCATTGTAGAGGCTTATAAAAATATCAGCAGTAATCTTTATGTATATGTATATTAAATATAACACAATTATCTTCGAGGTAGCTAGAAATGCATTTCATAAAACTCAAAATTGTCAGCAGTTTAATATTACTTGTGTTATAGAATGAATACTCGTGTTAATATCGATAAAATAAAATAATATAAAATATTAAGGACCCTAAGACATTCCTAATTTACAGATAAGTTTCACATGAAATAAATCAAAAGTTTTCGAGCAAAAATTGCGATTCCACTTTCTTAATTTATTTTTTATTTTCAAAAATGTCGCTTTCATTTTTAACATTATCTTTAATATAATAAAAAATCACTGTTTTACAAAAATTTACAGTATTCGTGTAAGTGTTATGGCATGTTTTTTAATATGAGATCGAAAGGTCTTTTTATTTTTTCATAATAAATATAAAAAAGTATTTTAATAAATCGTAAGAGAAATACAATATATTATAAAAGAAAAACTATAATATAGATCTAATACCTCTTTTCCCACTCCCTCCCGTCCCACATCACTCATGAAAAATCCCATACAATTTAATCCGAATTCAAACGATTTATTGATGGATTGTAAAGTTTTTATTGTATATCCTTGAATTCTTAATCAAGTAATAAAACGATAAATTACATAAGTAAAAGTGTTACGTATAGGTATGTTTATTTGTGCGTTTTCAATTTACGTTATTTTATATAGTACATAAATGTAATGTATAAATTCTAATAAAAAATAAAAACCAAACAAAGAAAATTAATAACAAAGGAAATAATTTTACTGCATCCTTTTATCATAGCAATTTGAAATTTTCTACATTTAAAATTTATATATGTACATACGTATTTGTATAATGTATACATTAGTTTTGTTATAAGGTTGAAATAATAGGTTACTATAACCAAAGTGTTGCATGAATATTTTAAGGAAGTTAATATTATAGTAAAAATTTATATTTTATAAGCGTTCGAATAATTTCAGTAAGCCAGGTTCTTATGTTTTCAGTTCTGAGACTGAATGAAAGTCATAAAACTATTCCTGTTAAACTTTTGCAAATTACATAGAGAATCCTGACTTCGACTTTTAATTTATTTACAATAATTTGCAACTTGCAAATTATAATTCGCAACAATCTAAATAAATACCCAAAATAATTTACATTGACAATAATATAAAACATGAAGCTAACATAATGGCCACATTTTTTTACTTATGGGCAGGCACGCACAGACAGATTAAAAAAAAACAAATTTACTATTTTTTTAATATTTTTTATATAGTGATATATTTGAGTTTATTTTCAAACATACGTACAATTACTACATTCCTTTAAGGTTATTGTATATACAAAAGTAACTTTATTTTTTATTTTACTAATCTTCTATCCAATATAACAATCCCCCTCAATTTTTTGGCTTCAGAAATACCTTTGTTTGGACACCTCTTTTATATAATAAATAAACATTAGGAAGGGAAAACAAAATAATAAGGGTTGGATGTGTGTGGGGGGGGGGATGTAAACATGAGAGAGGAAAGTAAATTTTAAGCTAATAAATTTGATTTTATTCTATTGATATGACGGAATTTCCTTTTTCTTGACATTATTTAATCGCATGATACGTAATAAAAATCGTAAAATAAATGTACATTACAGGAACATACTTACATATATGTTATATATGTACATATTTATAAATTTGTATTTGCGGAATGAAATAAAACAAATCAATTGGTAAAAGGAAGAAAAGTAAGTGACAAAGAAGAGAAATAGAAGAAATTCTGAAAGCGGAATTAAATAAAAAAAAAAGTTTGAATGAAAAAGGAAAGAGACAACAACAATAAAAACATTTTATTTATGATGTTTCCGATAATGCTTTTGTACTCGTACCATTATTACTTTTTTTCCTTTAAAAAATAAGAAATTGTAAATTTTATTGTTCATACCATTTAACCGTATCTATACTGTTATATATCCATATATGTACATATATATATAAAAAGCCGATTTAAACTTCAATCGAATTTACAAATTAATTAAGTTTCTTTTTCGAAGTCGTTGCATTTTTGGTTCAACCGCATTGAATTGCTCTTATTTAATTATGATTTTCAAATAAATATTATAATTTTTTAACTAAATAAATTTTAATCCATCAAAAAGAGAATGCTTTAAGCCATTCGCGAACTCTCTTAATGTCAAGATACCATAAACGAAAGGTGCTCAAAATTTAATGAAAAATTTTTCATATAAAAACTTCCTTTAATTTAGAACATATCAAATATCCTAACAGCCTCCACATAAATTTTGTACAAGCATTCTTGTTACTTAATCACAAGCATTTAAAAGTAGGTCATTATTATTAAACTTAAATTTTTTTCTTAACATAAATTTTTGTTGCTTCTGGTGCAAAAATTAAAAGTCCTCAGTATCTTTTGATGCTATAACATTTTTTATTTTGCTTACAGATCTGAAATTCTTAAAATTATTCTTTGTTAACATTATTTATTCGTACATATGTATATGTATATGTAATGTATATAATATATAAGAAAAATGTCATAATATTGACAATATAAATAAATTTATTTCATTTGTAATTTTTGAATTCGCTTTTGTTATAAATTAGTATTCAGTACATATAACTAGAATTATTTTTTTTATGTATTTTATATAAAACATATAATTTAGACCCCATCATGCGTGCATTAAAAATATAAAAAAATAAAAAATTGCGTTAACCCCCCAGAGAGAGGGAGACCAAGTTGTTGTACCCATTAAGATCAAATAGAAAAAAAATATAAATAAAAGGACATACAAGTTTTTTTATAGCTCATAAGTAAATATGTATATGTATGTATGTACATACACAGGCACATATTATTAAAAATAAAGAAGAAAATTTTAAGATTAAAATGGGGAATCTTTTGTGGAAAAGAAAAAAATCAACTTTTCATTTTCAATTTTTTGATTTTATTTTTCTTTTCAAATATCCTTCGGCACCTAATATGAAAAATGTCCTTGATAGGTTTTAAATTTCTTTTTTATTTTTATTTTTTTAAAGATTTTTATCATATTTCTTTAAAACAAAATTTTTAGTTTTTATCCTAAAATTGTTATGAGAATCTATACATTTTTGTGTTTACATCAAATATACAAAATATATGTATAATGCAACTACAGTCGTTATGTAATTTTTATTTAAAAATATTGAACAAAAAAAATTTATTAGGGTAATTTTAAATAAAACCAAAAAAAACAAATGAGCAATTCATAAACACTGCGTCTTTTCATTCAGTTACATAAAAACGAAAAAATACAATCTTCATTGTAAATCTAAAAATAAATCACAAAATCCTTAAACAATAAAAAGGATATGATAATGTAAAATAATTCAACAATAATAACAACAACAAAGCAACACAATCAAACTCAAATCAAAATAAGAAAAAACAAAAACAATACCAACAAAACAAGAATAAAACTAAAGGAAATGCGTCGTCATTTTGCGGAAGTACAAGTAAATATATATAGAATAAATAATGCAAATATAAAGGATTAATGAATTTTTGTTATTGTGATTTTCTTAGCCAGATAAAAATTAAAGCACTTAAAAATTTTTCATTTTAAAAGTTTAGTTTATTTAAATATTATTTTCTATAATTTACAATTATAGATGAACAAATTTATAATTTGAAATTTTTCGATAGTTGGTGGTTACTGGGAGACATAATAAAAATATTTTCTAATTAATATTTTAAATTATTTTGAATTATTTTAAAAATTTTTCTTATGTTAGATAAAGGAATTTCCCCCATCAGTCATTGCTATAATTTAATTTATTATTCTGTACTTAGATATAGTTAAACATTTTTATTTCAAAAATTTTCATTTAAATAAATTTTCAGTATTGCATAATTTGCGGCCTTAACTTTTGCTTTTTATCTTAGAAACCAAAAATTGAATTTATTTAAGAATAGAAAATAAAAATACAAAAAATAAATTTTTGGATTATAATTTCTGCAATATCAAATAAAAATAAAAAAAAAATTAAATATTCTTTAACGAAATTCACATTCTTTTTAACCCAAAAAAAAATAATACAAAAAAAAAACATTGAAAACAAACAAACAAACTTCATTTTTTTATCCTTAAACAAGAAATATAACAAAGAAAAACAGAAAAAATCTTATATTGAATCAGTCATCGCTCTAAAAAAATGAAAAACTTTTCAATTTGTTGTTTAATTTTTGGATTGGATTTTTTTTATTGCTCCTTTTATTCATTTTATTTTTTTTTACTTTTCACAGTCCATTGTTTAAGTTCAACTTTCTATTATATTTTGTATAGTTTTTATTTTTTCGTTTATTGTACTTATTTCTGCTGATCTCGATATTCAACATTTTATTACACATTTTTGAACTTCACAAAATTTTCCTTCCCTTAGTCTAGCCCACTTATACTTCCTTTTACCAAAAATTTCATTCCATACCTCACTCCCCTTGTTTGTTTTATAATAATATTTCGTTTATATAAATGTATATTTATTTGTGTAATATAACTATAAGAATGTAATATATAAGAAGAATTTCAATTCAAACCCCCCACCACTTCCCCTCTTTCGCATATACTTTCTGAAATTTTTATAAAAAAATATTTTGTATGCTTATATCCTTACCATAGAGTTACAGTACTTTCTTTGACCACAGATTTTTTTATGTTTATAAATACAAGTATATATGTATATGAATTATAAACAGTAGTGTATATCTATGTGCTTGTGTAATAGTGTAACCTAATATATTGCAAATAGTAGGTATTATGGAACAAAAAATATATGAAATGAGAAAAACAAAAGAAAATGAAAAAATTTTTATGAAAAAGTAGGGATACGGAGAAACTACAAAAATATGTCAACAAACTTTAAGGGAAAAAAGGATGTTCATTACATTTGTAAGGATTCTGTTTGAATAAAAATAAAAGAAGGCAAAAAAGAAAAAAAAAATTAATTTTTGTTTCAAATATTATTTTTATCCCTTCACTTTTTTTTTTTCATTTTTCTTCTTTACTTTATACAGCTATAGAATTGAAAACTAAGTTTTCTCCCTGCATTTAAACATGTACACATATGTGTGTATGTAAAAAATTTTTTAATAAAAAAAAAAACAAGAAACTGATGAGTATACGAGTAGTATGTTCAAATTGTATGGAAAAGAAAACCAGGAATATTATTGTGCAATAAAGTTTACATTTTGAAAATTCAAAATGAAAATTTTCATGTTGAATTTAGATAATTAATTAGATTAATTGTCTGGAAGATGTTCTTATGTATTGTGTATAAGCTGCCTAAAATAAATAAATTAAAAATAAGAAACATTTATAGGTAAAACAGGTACATATATGGGCTTAAATATAAATTAAAAGCTTGCTCGTTATATCCTTCAAATCTAAAATTATATCCATTCTACAATTATTTTAAATCTGTTTTCTTAAAATTTTAGGCACAGCAAACAATGTGTTTTTATTTTAAAACACATGTAATAAATAAAAAGTTTTAAATACAGAGATTATTGTAGATTATAGAAAGAATATAGAGAGTTATCACATTCGCCTTAAAACATTTTGCAATTTAAGACTTCACACTTTAAATATAATTATGACAGAATCTATAGTAAGAGTGACTGTATTCAAATTTGAGAAGCAATATCTTCAAACTATAATATCATTTAATATTATTTTAATAATATGTACAGTCTAATTTTATATAGAATTTACTGTATATACAACACTATATTATTTGAGCTGAGAAAGAGAGACGAAAAGGGAAATTGAAAAGAATATTGTTCTAAAATTCTTTTACTTCTATCGTGTACAATTTTCTAATAGGGTTCTTTACATAAAAAATATATGTACAATTGTACATACATACATATATCGCTATTTAAAAGTTCAAAAGAAAAAAAAAAGACAAATTTTCTAAATATACATCTACAAGTATAACAAGATTGTAAAAAAAAAGTGTTATATTCAATAAGATATGAAAAACTATATTATAAATGTTACGATGATGTTGATGATGATGAAGATGAAAATGAAGATAATGTTAATGATTCCGATTATTCTAAAAATGATTTTTTATCCTTTTTTCATTCCACATAATATACACACACATTATGTATGTATAAGTATGTGTCATAAAACTATTTTTATGTTCTATAAAAAATTTTCTCTACTTTTTTATTTTAATATAAGAGTTTTTAAGTATTCATTCTTTAAATGAAATCGGAAAAAAAAAAATATTATTAAAAATGATATTATCTTTCTCTTTCGCACTTAATCAATATTTTTGAATTTATGTTGTTGCTTTCTTAAACTTTTTAGAATTTAATATTGTTGCCTATATTATATTATACTCGTATAAAAAGTTTAACATTTCTCCATTGTATGTTAAAAATATCATTGTGTCGAATATCATAGATCAATAAGGAATAGTCATTATGTAAACATACTGTACAGACTATGTATACATAATGTATTCCGATTTTTGATCAAAAATTTTCTATTTGAATTGTTATAAATCGAAAACAGTAAATCTTACACCAACCATTTGTATACCGTCGTGTAGGTCCCTCAATTGAAAAAAAAGCTTATGAAAAATTCATTGTTGTAATTTCTGCATCTTCGAAACTGGAATGGATATTCATGAGACAGAATTTTTTCAATCTGATATTTTTTGTAACCCTCCAAAATTATTCCTAGTTTCCCTAGTTCTTACCACCCCCTTCTCCCGAATTATACGATTTTTTTTTACTAAAAAGCCATCAAACCTCGAGTACACTTATACTAGAATCGGGTCATCCGGTAGAATCAGACTTTTCTGATTTTTTTTTAAATATTGGAATTGTTTGAATGGTTAAAGCATTACCATCATCTGATTTAAAATTAAGTTTGAACGATTTAATGTTCAAGTTTTTAATCTGTTCTTTGGTAGTGAATCAGCTTATTGAATTAATTTGAAATTTTGACGAATTTAAAGAAAATCAATTAAGATATTTACAGCCTTCTATACAAATATAATATATACTAAAATTAAATTGTTATACTAAAACAATTATATAATAGTTATACTGTCCTGTTAAAATCAATATTGATTCCGTAGATAAACATATTGTTGATTTAATTTTCTCTTACTTATATTTTCTTGCGTATATAAAATTATATTACAGGATATTTTTAGTAATATGGCCTTTTTTGTTTCTCCATTTTTTCCTCCTTTTGTTTTTTTTTTGGTTATTCGATTCATTGGATTTTCTCTTGAGTTGATTTAATTCAGCTTGAAAGGTTATCGTCTGTAAGAAAAAGGAAAACATAGAATACTTGTACAATATAAATACACACACGCACACCATAAAAACAAAAATTTTTATTGAATGTAAAATAAAAAAAAAATTGAAAAAGGATAAATAAACAATATTGGTGAAGAAGGGAAAATTGAAGGAAAAGAGCAGTAATTCATAATGTTATACGAAATTTATGGGAATTTAAAAATTTCTCTGTGGTTAATTTTTCGTTTAATATTTTGATCTATTTTTTCTTTTTTTTTTTTCTTTTTGTTATCTGGATATTTCAATCGTTTAAGGATATTAATATAAAAAATATTAAGCGAAAATTATTATTGATTTTTATTATAAAAATTTTGTTTGCATTTGAAAACTTTTTGTTTATAATTATTCATTCATAGAATAAAACTTAAAAGCCTACATAAATTTATTTTATAAAGGTTGCATAAATTATCCTTAATTTTAAATTAATTAGAAAATTTAAATTAAATTAAATTATTCACAAATTACTAAGAAATTTAAGGTTGTTAAGACTCAAAATAGTATATATGTATAAGACAAATAAATTGTATAACAGAAATTGCAATATAAAATCTTAAAATTCAACAACTTTTTTAAAAATTTCATAAAAAAAATAGAATTGTTTGTCTTTTACTTCAATGAATATAATTGCGAAAAATTTCAAATTTAACGAAAATTTATTGTTCTCTATGGGACATTTTCGTATAACAGAATGTGTTTATAAGTAGCTATCATTTTTACATAAAGAGTGTGTAAATTATATATGCTTCATAGATCTGTTAAACTTCTGCATTCGATATGTGATCTTTTTAATTTATATCTCTTTTAACATAATAATAATATCCTTATACCAATTTATTGAGTATGGTACGTATATACAAGTACGTTAAATCAATGTAAATGCGATAAATTTGATAACAGATAAATTATGTGGCACCCTAAAATAAAAATCACAAAATTTAATTAATTGAACAAAAATTGATTTTCAAAGCATTTTTTCAAAAAAATTTCAATTCAATTTTAGGCGTCTTATTACCCTCATCATTAGGAATTGTTTGTACAGCATATAAAATGTGAGGAAAACGATTCAATCATATTGAAATTAAACTGGATCTAAATATCAAAATATTGCAGGATGAAAATAAATCGAATATTGCAAAAGTTTAAATATTTTATTTAAATTACAGTGGATTTGTTTTAATCTGTAATTCATTCGCGAAATTATGATTTGTCTGAAAGTAAGTGATATTTGTAAAGGGCTTTATCCAAATAATCGATTGCTTATACTCGTAGTTACATAATTACAATGAAGCCCTTTGTCTATCCTAATAAAATTTATATTTTAAGATTTTCGTTTTTTAATTATCAAATGCAAAAAAACTTATTTATTTTATATTTATTTTAAATTCCTCACGAAATTCATAATTTATTTATATTAAAATATGTTTCTCTTCTAATAGGAGTGCGAATTAAAATTTATTTAGTACAAAAAAATCTACAGTTCCAATACATATATAAACTATGTAGGTATACAATACTCATATAAGACCGACTTTAAACATTAATAAATCACCTGCATTCATTTTTCCAAATGAATTTTAATTTAAATTCTATTGGGATAATCATGCTTTTCTTTCCTTTTTTTCTGCTTTAACGTATTATTTTCCATGCTTTTATGCATATGTATGTATACTTATTCGAAATTTTACTATTATAATATTTATGAGTTTCATAGGATTTTCTAATAAAGAGGTAAAAATATTATAATTTTCGTTGTATTATGGTTATTTATTTAATTTTCCTTTTATTCCTTATAAAATCTGCAAATAGTCATTGTCAACTTACATTATTCTAGTATATGTACAAATATTTACAATATGTATTTTTCCAAAAAAAAAATAAAAAGAAAGGGGGAAAAAATGGAAAATTTTTATTATCCTTGATAGAAATTTGCCACAATCATGACATTATGTTCTTCGTATATCTGCTAGTATACGTACTTAAATACTATAACGGGATATCAAGTATAATACAAAACTGATGATGGCATATTACAAAAAAATTTATTTCTGATTTTTCTCTTTTTTTTTTGGAAAAATCAAACAATACAATAAGGATACTATATAGCTAATAAATATTCGCAATAAAAGGAGGATAATAGTTTCATTATTTTCATTCAACAAAACAATGAAATGAAGTCACATGTATATTGTAACAAAACAAGGAAAAATGAAACTGAGGATTTATTATCGTCACCATCATAAAATGAAAACTCATATAATTTGTTTGCTTGTTGTGAAACATATAAATATACATATATAAATTTATATTAATAATATATGTACAATTATACTAAAAATTTATATTATAAAATTTTGGTTTAAAAAAATGTAATGTATTTTAAAGTTAAGGATATAATTATAATTAGCTAAGGATATGCAAATATGTATGTGTCATACTTACAATTATATTGAATAGATTAAAATTTACAATAAATTTTCATTACTCTATTACTTTTCGATATATTTTTGGATTAAACGATTTTTTTATACCTTTCAGGACGAAAAAGTAAATTGTGAATAAACTACAGAGTTCTGGATTGAAAATTTAATTTTATATATAAAAATGAGAATGGTATTTAAATTATTGTTTGAAATCTCACCATTGGGAAATTCAATCTTAGTGAATAAGTAACATTTAATTAAAATTTTTCAATAATTAAAATGACTGTTTTTTTTTTTTTTTAATTTCTCCAAAATTTTAGATTACATAAATTAATAATAAATACTAAATTAAATTCAATTATTTACTTGTAGGTACTATAGAAAACAAAAACAACAAAAATATAACACTTGATTTCAAAACTTAAAATCAATATAAATATTATTGTGTTATAGAATCAACTGGGCATTAAATACAAAAACAAACTTTTATATATACATACAAGCAAAAAAGGAAAAGATATTAAAATTATACTGCAAAAAAGTTGACAAAAGGGAGACAAAAAATAAAGAAGGAAAAATAATCAAAATCAAAAAAAAAAGAAAAGAAACCAAAGAATCTAAATAAAAATGACAGAATCAGAAAACAGCAAGTAGTACAACTGTAAGGCAACAACATAACTCAACATGGGAAAAAACGGAAATAATACAGTTAAGGATAACAATAGAATTGATAAAAAGACCCTTGACATAAATACACAATATTGTCAAAAAAAAATAAAAAGAGTAGAAAATGGAAAAACACACAACAACAAGAAAACATAAAGTGAAATAAATTTTTTTTAAAAGGATATAAAAACACATTATACATTATGTATATAGCACACAAGGATATTCGATTTGTAGGTTAGAAAAAACAATATAAATACACACATACATTTATAGCATCCTTAATAATCTATATACTCGTACAATATAAATGTGTTTTTCACATGTGTGAAAAAGAGTAAAGGTTAACCATTCTTTTGATTTTTATTGAACTGAGGCTGATTGAAATTTAGTATATTTTCTTTTTTTCTGTTTTGGTTTTTATTGACTTAATACACATTAGTTAAAATGTATGTATATGTATTTTCATTCAGGGTTTTAAAAAAATGTGATAGATTTTGCATAAACTACAATTTATATGCAGCTTTATATATAAGCCGTATTATGAACGATAATTTTTAGTCGCGATTTCTCTGATGCAAATTAATTAAACTAATTGTGTAAGATTTAAAATTAGAAATGATAACAAGGTATTCTTTAGCACTTATCAGTGTCTTGGCTGTATTTTCTTTTCTTAAAATATTTTTGTAAGTTAGATTTTTTCAATACTAACAACTGAAATCTACATAAACAATATTTTGCCGTAATTTTTTTTGTATAAAAATCTTATTGTACATTTATTTTACATACCTTTATGTTTCATTACATTAAGAAAAATTACAATCCTCCATTACTGTCATATTTAAACACTTTAAAAAATTACAAAATAAAAACAAGTCAAAATAACACATTTCAACAGTTTATTTAGTACTTTTGTGGAAGACAAAGAAAAAGTAAAATAAATTAAAATAAAACTTAAAAAATATACAAAAAGTCCTTATTTTTTAACCCAATATTTTGTCAAGGATTTCATCCTCTTTTAAAATTTTTCCGTTTTCCTTTTTGTTCAAGGAAAAAAAAAATGTTATTCTTTTATATAAATATCATGCACAAAGTTTAAATGACATGCAAGATTATTGCTTTTCATAGCCAAAAATAAAAAGAGAAAATATAAAAAACTAGGATAAAAACGGTAAAATAAACGAAGTAAAGGAGAAGAAAGAAACGAATGTAAGCAAAAGAGATAAAAAGAAAAAAACAACTTTTCTTCAATCAACTTTTTTTTGTTTATTTTTAGAAAACGCTTGAACTGATGATAGAGAAAAGCTAAATAAGTTTTTTTTTTCCAAAAATAAGGCAAAACATAGAGGAGTTCATGAAGGAAAATATTAAGCAATGAAGATATGAATGAGACATACCCAGAGAAAACATGAAAATTTTGTGCAATTTGGAAATTTTTATTTTATTTTAAAATTTTTCCGCCGTAACAAAAAAGCATTGCGAAATTTTTCGATTTTTTCTCTTTTGTAGTATTTTTAATTTTTTTCGTAAAATCTAAATTTTTGACACGGTCTTGTATCAAAATTTACCTTCTATCGACTTTGAAACTTAAATATTTAAAAAAATCTCAAAATTACATTTGTATAATAGAACATTTGATCTTTTTTTGCAATTCAAATAAAAATTTAGTAGGTGGCACACTTCTATATCAAGGATGAAAGCTCATTTTTCGATTTTGTTCTTTCCTTGTCCTTTTTTTACCTATTTGACATATTTCTTTAATTTATTTTTTATTAATAAATGCTACTGTAATATTTTTTTTATCAACAATAATGAATGCAATGTCATGAGTTTTTGAAATACACATGATATTTTTCAGTAATCCTGAAAGTATGCATT